TAAGGCAGAGACATACCATCAGCTGACTGGGTAAATAAGGCGTAATCTGGGTTAACTATTTCACTGGATAAGATATCAAACCACTCACGCACCACACCCTGTCCCTGCATGTCAAAAGAATAAAACATATTAGTACATAGAACTTTCACTGCACAAAGTTACACTGGGTAACCACATACTTCTTAATAACGTATAAAAGTTACTTCAAGTTAGGATTTAGTTCAAAACAATACTTGTGAAAGAGAATTACTATTTCCATATATAAATACCATAAAGGAAAACCATGCAATTTTACCCACCATGCCTTCTTCTCCATGAAATCTCACAGCAATCCCCTGCTTTAGTTTTGCACAATTCGCTTTAGACACAACTTCACAGCTACTCCTAAAAATAGAATCTAAATACAAAGCACCAATTAATGTTTTTATCTTAATTCATTATATTTCAATGTATTTCAAAGACATACTAATTCCATCCATAACACAATACCTCTGTGAACCAAAAGGATGTCATTTTCATTTACAGGCCTGTGCACCATGTCCGAATCTGGCTGCCCCGCATGCAAATGTTCATAGAACCATTCACAACGATCTTTAAATGGCTACAAAACAAGAGGTAAACCATATCATACAGATGCATTATACTGAATAATTCCTCTTTCATAAGCATGACTGGAAAATGGTTATGCATACTTCTCAATTAATTTTTGAGATGTGCAGAGAGTTACTCAGTGCTACCTCAATATGCTAAACAGTATTTTGGGAAGATGAAAGGACTAGACATGCCCTTGAGTGCTTGCTGAAGTCTGGTATGAAAAAAGACTGGACCACCAGTTATCTAGAAATAGCTATCAGAGTTCACCACACAGGAGAAAAATAGCACAAAACTTCTTCCAGGGCCAGGGGAGGGGGGCAAGGAATACAGGTAAGAAGTCACTGGCTTCTGTAACACTACTGATTATCAACCACAGCTGAGCACAGAAGCGCAACTGATATAAACAAGTCGTATTTGTAGTTCATTGGCAATAAAAAACAACGCAAAGGAACCAGAAACCTTCCAAAGAAATTCCTAGGTGAGATGGTCCTAACTTGTATTTAGACTGACATTTTGCAGTTATTCCGAGACAGGTATGACACAAGTACAGCCTCTCTCATCTACCACAATTCACAGCATGTACTTTTAGTTGATCTAACAAACAGGGTATCAGTTCTCTGGGCCTCATTGTTCACAGGTAATGAATTTCAAAAACACCCATGTCAACCAAAGAATGAGTAAAACTATGTATCTACACCACATCCTAAAAATGAAACTGGATTACCAAAACCAATGTACACCTAAAAATAAAGGCACAGTACTGTTCACAATAAATAAATAAAGCTTTTGGAACAGATTCTCCACAGTTATTTATGGGGGGTGGTTCTGGTTGGTTAGAGGAATTTTACCTTTGTTTTCAGCAAATTCGGTCTTTGACCAAAATATTTTAAATGTAAGGAACCTTTCATAGAGAACAAAGCAAAAGTATACCATTGTGTGCTAAGTGAAGGAGTCCCAAATAGCTCATTATCACCCAAAGACCATCTTCATTTGTAATAGAACAAATATACAGCTCTGTCTGAGCTACATGGAGACAATCATAATCTTTTAAAGGTAAGTGATGAAAATGTGGCAGATGCTTAACACCACAGTGTAATGTAAAGCAGCAGACTTCCATACAGGCATTTGCTCACTAATTTTTCCACTAACTACACTAGTCTTCCCTAAAGTAACTCTTAAGTCTTGAATTCATGTCCCATGTTAAACTGAAAAGTGAGTTTAGGTTATGCAAGACATCAGGATTTTACTAAAAAAACAAAACAAAACAAAAAACCCAAACAAACGGAAATGGTAGGAAACAGAGCAAAGGGTAACAAGACAACATGATGTTTCATTGAAGGAGCTGCCGCTAATTAACTACGGCCAAGTCAACTAATAGTGGTGTATTTATCCTCTGGTTTGTCTCAAAATGTAAGCCAATTAAGGAAAAAGCACAGCATTTTAAAACTCAATCTATTAGATGTGCACAAATAGATTTAATAATAGAAAGTTAACTCTGTTGAACTGAACGTTGGACTTGTAAGACATATTTAACATTGGTCATCTCAAATGGACTTACACATGAATTTTAAACACTTAGAAGTACAGAGATCTGGCTGCCATGTCAGTTTAATCTGACCTTTCAACAACCCAGATTCAGAAGCACTGGAGGCCGCACTTAGTTCTTCCATCCTCCCCAAACTGATTTTTTTAAAAATATTATTATTTTTAAACAAAACACCCTCTTTATATTCTTAGAAGCTGTAACTAAGCATCTCCTGACATTTACCTGAGCTTTTATGATGTGCATAAATCTGGACATTAGTTCAGGACACTCAAGAAGAAAATGAAAGTGATCAAAAATTATTTTGGGATTTCTGAAAGAAAAATAGGTTAGAAGCTTGTTAGTCAGAGATCCAATAATAATGCTTCATAATACACAAAGTCTACATAAAGAGACAATGCAATTAGTCATACAGAAAAGTTCCAACAGACTCTTCTATTTCATAATGTTTTCCTAAGTCTTGTTTCCAAATTACTTATATGATCTCATCCTTTGAGCATGGAGGATACAAGCAGCTCTCCAGACAGAAACAAGGTTATAAACTGCGCAGTCCCAGAAAAACTCTGGAAACAGCCAAGTGTACAAAGATGGTTTAGACTCCTTTAAGAAGTCATGAAGTGTAACACATTTGAGGAAGAATGAAAGTTTTCATCTGCCTCAAAAGAGAAGGCTTTATTTGGAACAAAGATGAGGAAAGAATCCGTTAAGGAAATTATTCTGTTGCTCTGTGAAGTAGATTTTGTTCACAAAATCTCACAGAATCTTACAAAAGGATCACTTACATATGCAGAAGAGTTCATTTAAGCCTGAGCTCCAAATCATTAATATACACTCCCTTCAATTTGGCAGGACCATTAAAGTGCATATGGTACATATGACACAACAAAAGCCTAAAAATACAACTCAGTAAGAAGAAAAATGTAAGTCTGAATTATTGGGGGGGAGGAGGGAAGGAAATTAGAAATTCCATGTTTCTTGAAGCTTACCGGTTAACAAAACACTTAAGGACATCATCGTGTTTACAGACAAATTCTATAAAACGAGGCGATGTCATCCTGTTCAAAGAAAATCACAAGATGCTTTTGGATAATGAAAAGAACTCGAATGACAAATTGTTGCATTTGTTTTTTTAATAAGATACTAAGCAAACAGAAACTCATGTTGTTTAACTAGTCAATCATCAAACAAAATATTATGAAATCTTAATGCTGCTGAGTAAACTAAGGCAAAAATGCCAATACTCAAGAAGGTCAAGCAACCTGACCACTAACTATTATTAACCACATGAACAAAAAAAAGCTCAAACTAATAGGGATACACATTCTTCTACTGAATCCTCCCAGCTTTCAATACAACAACAGAAGTACATATATGGAAGCACTAATACAATATGCACAATATACATGATATGCACATTGTTCTATATTCTTGTTCATTGTATAAAATTCCCACCACACACCTTGTAAATTGTGGTAAGTGAGGAAAAGAGCTAGGAAGAAATAACATTACAAACTTAGCAAACTTAATAATGAGGAGCAAGGTGGTATTTAAAGGTTTCGTGAAATAACAAAACTACTTGCCAGGCAAGCATCTCATACACTAGTATGGAATTTTTTTTTTCCTCCTATATATATGTGGAGAACAAGGGAAGGATTAACATCGGTGCAAGTTTTACTCCGTTTATTTGCATCTATGTCCTGCAATTTTTTTCAAAAAGAGAAATTCTTATCTGGATCCTTTAGCTTCTGCAAAAGCTAATGAATACTTGCAAACAAGAATAAAACCCTCTCATCAAGTGCCCTGCAAGGCTGTGAAAAACAGTATTTTAAAAAGTCCAGGATAACAATCCTAGAACAGTTGTTGTCAGCTATTTTCCTTCTTTCCCTTACTGTTTTGAAGAAACAAGTCTCACCATATCCTTCCCCTCATCTGCACAAAAAACAAATAAGCAAATAAAATCTTCCAGAGACCAAGCAAGAACATTTTAAACACACTCCTGGTCTGAGAGATCATCTGAAAGTATTACACAACTAGAAGAGTCTTCCCTGAAAGGAAATTAACACTCTCTACCTGTAAATTGCCACACAAGCTGTAAGATGCAATACAGAGAGAACAGGGGGAAAAAACCAACCAAACAAAAACTTAGCATACCTTCATCAGTTTTGATGCTGAAAACTTGCAACATTGTATTTCAGTATATTAACAAAGAATGCCTAAATTCAATATCAGCATTTGCAGAAGAAAAGCAATCATGGCAAGTAAAAGAAAATAACCTCAATATTTCAAATGTTAATCAGATAATTTTCCATATAAGCATGAAATGCCTTCTTTATTGTATGAATATTAGGAATAATGGAAAACTATGAGCTCTGTTTACTCTCCTCCATTAAACATAAAGACATTCAAATCTAAAATTAGAGCCATTTTAAATTATTTTGTCTGGAAATATAATGTTATAATTTCAAATGTTATTTGAAGATGGCAGCAGTACTGAGTTATACCATTGTGCCATTTACTCCTACTGACACGAAAACTTCAGCAAAAGAGAGTAAGTCTCAGATCTTTGTAGTTCTCTACACAGTTCTGAAAGCAAGATGGAATTCAGGTGCACTCTGCCTTACTTTCCTGCATCCCAGGGAGTTCTCCCAGTTGTCACTGAAACAGTTCTTACTCTCCTGGCTTCTATGATAAATCTCAATTAAACTTACGTAGTATCCACAGGAGTTCTCCCTAACGTGAAGTGTAAATTATGCATACAGACAGACCCAGTGGGCAAGGCCCGTCAGCAAGTCACCTGGACACAGGGAGACAGTCACCTCTCCAACTGAATTTTGGTATAGAGATAAATTGGTGGGGCGAAATGTACTTCTTCACTTCTATAAACATTTCTGCTTTTCACTTGGCTGCTGTAAATAATACTTTACTGGCATTTTACCTTAGCAAGGTTTGATAGAGATTTCAAGGGAAATGGCTAACCAGCAGTTCCTTTTTCACGGTGGAGTAAAATTAAAAGCAAAAGTACTAAAGTGCTTGCAGAACATGCTGATCCTCAGATCATCTTCCAGAGTGTCCACAGGGGAGTGTACCCCAGACAAACAGTACCGGCCAACTTGAAAGCTTTTATTCCACTATGTTTGGCAGAAGAAGAAAAACACTTCCAACGGCTGGGAATAACCAAGAGTTGTCATGTAGTGGGAACCTTGCTTCCCGATTCCTCAGGGGACTCGTAATACCATCATACTTGCCTAATCCTCCACTCAAGAGGGTCGAAGGATCCTTTCCTTGCAAGTTCACAAACATAATCCATAACAACCTCGGACAGGCTAAGACCTCAGTTACAGAGGACATGCTTTTTTTCTTTTTAAATCAGACACTGATGATAATAAATTTACCTAAGTTGTAGCGCCTGTTCCACACAAAACTATGTTTGCCAACCCAGGACAGGATTCCAAGCAAGCATTACTTTGAGATTGAACTCTCCTCATTATAAACTTCTGCAATATAGCCAAACAAGTTTTGCCCCAGCTGTCATTTTATTACACAAAGGTAATTCACATTTTTTTCTGAGCTTATAGCTGTTGTTGGATAATCACATTAAATTTAGGGATAATTTCACATTAAGAACCAACAGCAGAAACAGCTAAGTTTCAAGAGATTAAATTACATTTCCTGCAAATATCCCACATGATTAAAAAGAGCCATTAGATATTCAATACGAAATCTGCTTCAACGCAGTTACACTCATAGGTAGCAGCACCATGGAAAATTTGAAATTTGCTGTGCTGTCTAGTGCCATTAAAGCCGAAAAAAAAAGCATTCAAACAATTGAACTAGAGAAATAAAAGGCATACCCTTGGCTGTCACTAATATCATCTGGTCAGCACAAACATTCTTCCAAGAAAGCATGTATGATTTTAAAATGGTAATAGTTTCGGTAACAAACAAGATCCCCTCCTTACCCCTGAGGCATCTGACAGGAGCAGCACATATAAAAGGCCTGAATGACAGCACTTAGCCTGTTTGCTGTCATGGAGATAACATCCTGGCAATCAGCACAAGCTTCCTGCTTCCCAGCAACATCATATGCTTTTGACTCGCCAGCATCAGCGGATAGCTCTTTCCTGCCCTCAGTTCCTGCATCGGCAAAGGAAGGCGTAGGAGTAGCATCCTGGTGATCTGGTCCTTTTTGCTTCAGTAAAATAGAAGTAATGTTGGCAGAGTCCCTTTTGTTTTTCATCAGCTCTGTGGCTATAAGAACGAGCCATTCATCTAGAGAATGCCAGAGCAGTTCCAGCGGCTGCAATAAACACATGCAAAAACAAAGGAACATGTTGACATTAGATAATATTAATGATGTGATAATCCTCTTAAGGCAAATAAATATCATGAACATTTAAAAGCTTTAAATGATCCTTTGGAAGTCATGTTAGAGATAACAGTCAAATGCTCATGAAAAATTCTGTACTTCTAGCCATAGAGCACAAAGAGAAGATTTCATACAGAAGAAAAACAATCAAGCAGCAGATAGAATAAAGATAAAATTATTTAGAAAGGGTGAAATACTGAACTATTTAACAGAGTTTGGTCTCACAGTTGTTACACAGCACACTACTGCCTGACTGCTGCAGTCAAGCAGAGACACGGTAATACACACGTTGAGTTTCCAGAATAAGCATGTGTCAGTTCTTTTTTAAGGCCCTGGTCAAAGAAGCTCCCTCCTCCACGTAGATGGAGCAAACCCCAGACAACACCACTGAGATTCAGGCTCATGTACATATCTAGTAATATGTGCTTTATGCATAGTGTGAGCTCATACAGCTCATTTTGGTAGTATCTCAGATGTAGTAAGAGTCACTAACACCTAGCTTTATGAAATACAAACAAGTATCAGTAGAATCACGTATTTTAAAGCTATAAAATTTTATTTTAACAAAGTCACTCTTTATTCACTACCACCAGCTTAAAACCAGTATAATTGAAACCTGGTACAATTCCATCATTACACATTTGGTCTGAGGTGCAGGTCTGCTACAGAAGAGAGAAAGGGCTGAGAGACCCGTGGCTTTCTCAAGAGCATTTAAAAAAAAAAAAACCACGAAGGCTAACTGTGCTATCCCTTCATGGTGTTTAAGGGGATGTTTCACAAGCATACAGTCTAGTGAGCACAGGGATGTGTATCCTACAGGGAGGCAATTCTGACTCAAGCCTTTCATGGCATTCCAAAAGTAAAAGCAAACTTCTAAATGCACTCCTTTTTCCATATGTTACTGTTGCATCAACACTTCTCATCAATTAAAGCATTCAAAGACTTAGCAGATACTGAAAATGATGTTCTCATCTTCTGAAGTTGCCTTTAAAGATTAAGAGCTATTTATTCCCCGCACACCATACCAGAAGCCTACACTATCTGGAGCACTGTCAGTACACCTAATAGCCACATGCTCTCAATACACAAGAAATTACTTCTTATAAAAGCCATGTATTAAAAAATTCAGTTGAAATTTACCATTTAAAAATTTACCATTATGCTTCCATTTTTTCCCCAACAAGAAGTTTGGGGAAAGCTAGCCTGATGTCTAAGATCGGTAGGCTTTGCTCAACATACTGCATGATATTCACTTAATCCTTGTACTCCTAGTGACCACCCATTTCTCTAGATGGTGATGTGAATACCTGCAGCATAGGTACCAATTTCTACATAAATGTCTGCATACAGGATCAAGTTACCTTCTTTTCAAGACCTACCTTTCACCACGAACCATAATGTAGGAAAACTTTCTAATGGAAAATGATTTATTGAATATATGGAAGAATTAAAATGCAACTGTGTTCTTAACATGTAACTCACAAGAAACTAGGTAGTTATTCAGTAGAATACTAAAATGTAGTTTTCTTCTCCCAAACTTTTCAATGCTTGGCTTGCCAGATACCATTCTTCTGCTGATACCTCCTGTTTCGTCTTATTCCCCACAGACTTAGCATGCCTTTCAGAACTCTTGCAACTGATTTGTTTTTCCAAAGCTAGTTTTTCACAGATTCTGATCACACACTCATAAAAAGCAGTCAAGCATAGCAAATTCAACATTTCACTTTCCCTTTTTCTAGTCTAACTTCAGGATGTAAAGCACTTCTCTAAATATCACCCACCACGTCCATATCAATGGGTGTCAGCATTTTATGTTATCATCCATGATCAGACCTTTTCAAGCGTAATATGGACATATTCAATCAAACCATTAGCAACATTTTTTCAAAACTACAAGTCAGCATTCTTCTGTTGATTCTTACCACAAACTGCATATTAAACACAAACCTCCACTCAACCTTCAGTTTTCATATCTCACATTTCAGAAAAGTTTATTTGGAATTATACACTTGAGTTTGATCAAGTGCCAAGCTTTTACAGCTACACACCTCATCTCTCAAATGCAAGGATTTAGCTATGCAATGCCTTCCTCTTTACCCATCTAGAAAGCAAGACACTAGGAAACAAACCCATATTCAAACTCCAATACTGGAGCAAAATCTTTTGCCAGGTGACAGACAGTCTTTCAAGACACAGAGCAGGAGATCACTAATCCATGAAGCAACTGTGTCACAGCAGAGAAGTCAATTCAATTCTAGAAAAGAATAGTATCTGAAATGAGGGAAAATGCTATGGGCTTCCCAAATTTGTTCAACTAGACCGGGAGATTTTGCAGCAAGTTTCCCTAATATGTGATCATACTGAAGGGCAATTGGAAGAGCGATACATGAAAAAGTAATGAATGTAAACCTGGTCAAAATTACTATTCATAAAGTTTCTCACTGGTAAGATCTCATTTGACTTAGCAGTACCTTATTTCAAGATTTGGTGTCAAAATTCAATTACTATTTTGTTTCTTGCAAGATCAGTACAAAAGTGTGTCTTAATTAGGTAGAGTTTCCACTTTAGAGTATTTGGATAGTCCTGAATTGACCAGGACTGTAATGAATTACATCCAGTGAACTTCAGTAAAGCAAAGACAGCCCTGTGATCTGCTTGTCTTTGTCAAGCAATAACATTCCTCAGTAGCCTCAGATCAAGATATACTCACATTTTCAATCCCCTTCCAAGCTAGATTACAGCAACAACTCTCCAAAATACATTCAATCAGCATACTAATACAGAAAACCTTAACACAGCATTAAGAAAAAAGTCAGAAGAAAGTTTTTCTTCACTTGTTATATTGGATAAAATATGGTTTTGCACTAGCTTTTAAAAGGAGTTATGAAGTACATCTTCAAAGGTCATCAGGTACAGCTCTATTTGGACCTAATGGGAGTGCATTCAGAAGGAAAGGAATCAATCCCTTATACCATGCAATAAGGCGTGATAATGTTCCTCTGCATTACCACAAGACAGAACTCCTGCCACTGCTACCCTCAGTCCTTCCCAGATAGAAGTTTCTGTTCTTGAAAGAAGACAGTATTGAAGAACAGATTAGCTTCCTATACAGTAAAGAAAGACAGTATCTAGAGGTCTTCCTTTGCTCAAATAAACAGCATTCAGAGAAGTGGGTGGTGACCTGTATTACTTTCTTGTGTCCTGGACAGTGCTCAAGACCTTACATCAGACATGAACCAGTCCAAGAGACTTGCTCTTCCCCATAAAACCTGTATCAAGATTCAAGTTATCTACAACATTTATCCCCCCACAACTGAATTTTAAGATCGTCAGCAAATTCCAATTTAAATCTACTTTCCTCTAAAATTTTCAATATGGATCTCAAATTTAAAATCTTTAAGTTCCATGTTGACTTTTTTAATACAAATTTAACTCCCATTTTGGAACAGCAACCTCTGTGGTTTCCTTAATAGTCTGTACTAAACAGTTACACAGCCTATATTGAAGAAAACTCGAATAAAACAAAAACCAGAAAAGGAGTTCTTTGTCATTGACCTGCATGTCCCACATGCAAGTACTGATACCAGTGAAGATATACAACTGACAGGTCTTCAAGCAGTCTCCATACCATTGTAATAATCTAGAGATATAGCAGGCTTGTTTCCCCTCCTCCCAAAAGATGAAAGGGATCATCACAACCATGTTTTCAAGGAAAGGACAAAAAAGAAGGAGAGGGAAGGTAGAAATAAGAGAGAACAGGAAGTCACCCTTCACAGGAAGACTCTGCACTGTGTCTAATCTCCCACTACCCAGTTACTGTAAATTCAGGGAAGAACAGGCTAATCCAACCACAACTGAAGATTAACTTAGCATTGCCAGACCCGTATGCCCCATTCCCAAACAAGAATAAGTTCTCATCAGCAGTTTTGTATTCGAGTTTGAAATTTAAATCAACCTTAAAAATATCGCAGAGACAACAGTGGCCCTAATGAAGGGCTGCCTGAGTTTTAACACTTCTAAAACAAATAATTTAAAATAATAGAAATAATAATTTTAAAATAATCCTGAAATTTTTGTTTTGTTAGCTAATGCAACAGTAATATATATATTGCTCATTTATTAAAAACATAAATGTTGCTTTTACAAAATTAAGAATTGCTGATATTTTCTGGGACAACTGTGACAGTTGTGTAATGTAAGTCTACTGCACAAGACTTAACTCCATACTAAATTGAGAAACAATTCTTTCATCACATGAAGTAGTTTGGGCACACAGATAAGCAATTCTGCTGAAAAACAATTTCCTTCGCAAATTGCAATTGAATGTTTTTGTTAGGTTTATAGTGAGTTCTGAAATTATCTGGAGTTGAAAAGCATGAAACTTTCTTTTTTTTTCCTTTTTGGGCTATGAGCAAAGCACAATAAACAAGGAGACGAGGTCACTACTCCTAAAACCTTGAAGAAAAAAAGGTAGCAGAATATCTACACAGAAAGGTAACAGAATATCTCACTGCAGATAGTTCCTGTATTAAGCACGTTTCACATTTGCTTGTTATTTAATCTGGTATATTTAAACCAATTTTCATTAAAGCTGTTAGAAAATGCTGTCTTAAATAAAATTATTCTTGTGATTTGGGTAGGGCTTTGTTTTTTGAAAACTGATACCTCGTTAAACTCACAATGTGCCAGTCTAGCTCAATACATTTTAGTGAACAACTCTAAAGGACAATTATTATATTACATACTGTACAATGCATTACATTTTGCACACAGTATTTTTCATACTCAAGCACTAGTTTTATATTCATTATATAGATCAATTTGTTATTAAAACTATTTTGCTACCAGAAAGAAAACAAACATTTGTGTTTGTTTTTTAACTAGTCTGATGTTTTCCTTCTTTCCAAGAGAAGAAATTTAAACAAAAACTGAGCTACTTAACTAAGTATAGCTGGAATTAAGAGTTATCATCCTTCATGACCTTATCAATATAGCTCTGTCTTAAAAGTCATTAGAAGTAACCTGATGAGCATGTAATTTCAGAATATTGTTTTCACACCACTCTGGAAGAAATGCAAAGGTTAAGGAAAATTCTCATGTAATCACTGGCATCTAAATTTGGTGGTATGAACTGTGCCATGTAAGACCATGGAGGAAGATGGCGGGGGG